CGGGCCGTAATGATACTTTCAGTGCTAGAAAGGAAAAGAAAACAGAGATCATAGCAGAGGTTTAAGGTGTGCCAACAGATCTTAGAGCTTTTTCATAACCAAAGAGGAGTCGAGATGAGGCCCAGCCTGAGAAATAACTAAGCCCACCCTGATTAAGATTAGTGCCACGAGATACCCCCTGCCCTCCGGCCCCCGTTATTGTGCGGCGCTTGTCAATGTAAATAGACCGCCATTGATAGCTTGTTAATTGATAACATAAATAACTTGTTCCAACTGTAAAATGTAACTTTATATCAACATTGTACTCCGAGTTGATAATTCGTTAAGCGTTAGAACAACAGATTCTTTGAAAAAGCGAAAGGTTAAGAATGATCCAGTCGAGTGTCAGACAAGAATCTTTATTTGTATGTAGTTCATATTATTGCAAACATCACTCAAGAACCTGACGAAAGAAGTGGTATAAGTAGATTGTGCAATTGCTATGTGATATCAGATAGAAACTCCGTTTGGTAAACAAGGCCTTGATTATTATCTTTTTTCCGCGCAAAAGGAAATTGCATATTCAAATATGACTTCTGCCCAGCATTTCCATCCTTGTATATAAGAATTGAAACAACACTTTGAAGCACATACTTTTTAAACTCCAATAGACAATCTAGATAAAAATAAGAGAGTCAGCAGTGACGTGTCATGTGTGTCAGGGAAGTGAGACGTCTACAAACTGACTTGATGATAAAAGTAAACATGATTTAACCAGTCACAACATTAACAGTTTAGTCAATGGTGAAATAGAATATAAAGTTAGTTACACAGTGAGTTACTTTTCGAAACAGCGAGCTCTTTCAACACCACGTATGGAAAAGACAATAGTGAAGGAGAAGATATGGTGATGTTTATATCTACCGTAATTAATTTCTCAAGAGGCTTAAGCGCCGCAATCCGATAGTGTCGGAAACCTTCTGGAAAAGGGTGTGATCATATGTGGCGAGGTCACTGCGGTGAGGTCTCACGGAAATTCAAATATTTCTATCGCGTTTTGTTTAATCCTTGGTTGCGAAACAGAAACACACAAAATGGTTGATCAGCGATTCAGAGCTCTGTCTTCGTGTTTGGTGATTGCGTCGCTCGTGGTGATAGTAACAGCACAAAACAATGTTGCGGAGAAAGGTTAGTAAGAGTTGTGGGTGAACTTCATTTGTTTAATGGTCGATTCAGTCTCACAAATCTATGAACGACACCGACGCTGAGCTCACATCGATGAAATGTCAAACACGCAGGGCAATTTCAAGTTAGATGCGTTTGAAAATGACACCTTTCTTCGATAATTAAAAAAGACTAGTCATAGATGCAAAACGTTTAGGAATAACAAAGCACTTATAACTGTATCGTGGATTTCTAGTCCGCGGGAGGGGGGAGAGGATGGTTCACGCTCTAACTTCCAAATTCCCCGCCCGTGCTTCCACTAACTCTCGATAATTCCTTTTCTTGTTTCCAGGCCAAAATATTACTTCTTCCCTTGTCTAATGTATGTAGTTAAATTTTATTGCCTACTGCATTTATTCAGAGATAATTTTGGATAAAATGTAAGGGGGGAAAGAGTGTTATCTAGAATTCTAGAGCACAGCATGGAAGACGAGTTAAGCTTTCCGCCGTTCAGCCTCANCCCATCACCACTTTATTAGGAATTTCGCACTTTATAGTGGGCTCCCTAATCCCTTGATTACAACTTGTAATTATTTTAAAAGCTTGTTATCCTGGAATTATCAAGCCAACTGAGCCAGTAGATTTACTTCAACTGCAAGAAACTATTTAAAAAGGACAAAACAGTATCGAACAATATTTCGCTTTATGTCCTTCAACCCCCGCATCAATCAAACATTAATTATGGTTTTGTGGATGAAAGCGCATTGTCTTACAATTCAGCTAAAACTCTTGAGCAGTCCTATTTTCTTGGCTAAACGAAGTTTATAAGTCAGTAAATAAAATGCTATTTCAGATTAAATCTGTGGATAGAACCCTCAGGCTTAAACTCACCTTCGTACCAGACATTTCTTACGCGTCGACCAACGCTAGTAATTTATTCTGATCAGTACGACAGCTGAGAGGATTTCCGTACCTGAGAAAAACCTTTTGAATCATTCCCAGTCATGCCTCGATGTAGTTTTGCCTTTCGATTCCACTGGCAACGGTTTTGTTCTTGTTCCTCGCAGATTTCGTAAGAATTCTCCAGTCTGTCGTTGTGTTTCAGGGATTTATCTCAGCATTTTCAGGAGGTTAATTATTTTTCCTACAGCTTAATGAAACCGCAAATTATTATTAGTCCGGAAATGATCCGCCAATGAGACCTCTGCCCGGAAACCAGTTGTCCCCGAAACAGCCTGCAAAGAATCCCCGCTCAACAAAAATGTCGAGAAAGCACGTAGCATCCAACCTGTGCTGTAGCTGGAAAATTACTTTAAAATCCATTCTTATTCACTTGGATGTGCATTATTTCATTAGAAACATTATTTCATTTCAACGTAAATTATTTGACAAAAAATTCGTATCTGTTAGGCTGCCTGACATCAGACTTGTTAAAATCTAGAGTTGACCAAGAGGCGTCTATTGTCTAAAAATATAGCAGCACGTTTGGAAGGCATTTGACCAATCACTATGATCCCTTTGCTGCGATGAAAACCTCCAAAACTTACGACCCTCTTCATACAGTCCAACCTTTCCTTATGGACGCCGTTTATTACGGACAGTTGACTTCGTCCCAGAGAAATCAGTTTTCATATAATCTCTACCACATTAGAGCGGTTTTCAATTGAGTATCGTAAACCAAAACCAAAGTGTACTATGGCCAATCACAAATTACACAGACTATCCATCAGACCAGTCAAAATTCAATATGAAGCCGATTACTGCTTAATACTCATAGATTAATACTGCAGAACCAAAGCAAATGCAAATTTCTTTCAGCACTAAGGTGAAAACCCCTCTAGTTTCAAAAGCTCGGGCTCGGATTTTGTGGCAACCAAAGTTATACCATTTTTGGTTCATATCAGTTGGTACAGTTCCCATGCACTTCAGTTGTGAAATACATAGAGCTGAATAGAGGAAAGGGATGACACTCTAATCAGAAGATTCTTTTATCTTGATTTTCCACAGATGTCCATGTGAACGATACTTTGCAGATCAATAATAACACAAAGACAGGAAACGAAACAAGGTTAGTAAAACTTAAGCCTGGGTAACCCTCAGCGTTTTCTTCTTCAACAGAACTATCTTCAATAATACGTTCTTGCAAACACACGAACAATAAACAAGAAGTTCTCTGCTGTGCATCCAGGAATCACTTCTTGACCGAGACAATACTAATTCTCTTATCTGCACCTGACTTTAACAAACTTTATGTGTTCCTTCGCTCCACAGCAGTAACACTTGTGTCCCAGCTCATCCCAGTCCCTCGCTACAAGCTATTTGTAAGCCGTACGTGTATGAAGAGAAGGGAGTGTGTTCAAGTATAATTGGGAAGCGCCTTATTTACGGCTCGATTTATTACCAAGGAATCATGGAAAAACGGCTGGTCAACTTTAATATGGCAAAGGCTTATGTACTTTCTAAAGAAGACATCTCCAGCAAATGTCTTCAAACTGTGGAACATGTTTACTGCAACCACTACTTTAAAAGATGCGACAATGTCTCCTCGAAAATTCTTCCAGTACCGGTCTGTAGGGAAGCCTGCGAGGTTATGGTCCAGCAGCATTGCAAAGAGGAGTACCGTAGGGCTGATGAACTAAACAAGGCCGTGAAAGGGTATAGGGCTTTGCCTAACCAGTGGGCCTTTGACTTGATTAACTGCACAACGCTACCTAGAAGAAACGGGGGTACTATCCCCGAGTGTTATTATCCAAGAGAACTCGAAGGTGCCTAGTTTTTAAATAGTTTACAATATAAGCCGATAAATAGCGGATTAGCTAGTGTCTTAAGGATTATGTTTAACTTGAAAATATTGAGTCTCACCGGCGGAGCTTTGACACTAATATGTGGAACAATCTCAGGTATCTTTTACACTTTACAATTGCAACTAGTGTATTTTTATTAAAGTCGTTACCATTTTGAACATAGCTATATGTGACAAGTGAATTTTGTTAAAATTCCTGTGTAAAACGGGATCATCTCTAATTTTAAACGCCCCTAATGTGATTTTTTTATCTACCTTATCTAAAGCCATGGGTATTGACCATGTTAGCTGAAGAACCGGGAACGAGGGGAGGATAGTGAGGCAAGAGTAGCGGTGGGAGCGTGGGGGTGGGGGTGGCTCGCTGGTTGACTTGCTCGTAGGGTCTATGGAAATAGGGCCAATCATTGGAGTCTTGACTGAAATGGAAACATTTACGTTATTTTTTTGAAGGTAATCCATTTGTGTGTCTTTCCAGAATACTTTTACGACTTTCAATCTGAACTTACGAATCACTGTAAAAATATTTTCCTTTTTTTTCTTTGTTCTTGCTGTAGAGAACATAAACAAAGACGACTTCAGCGGTAAGCAGAAGCTGTTTGAGATTGACACCCTTTTAAACCTTTAAACGTTTTAAAATAACCATTTACAATAACGTTGAAATTCTTTATCCCTGTCTTAACAGACTTGTGTTCTTATGACAACGGTCAGTCATACCGCGGAAATATATCAGTGACGCAGTCAGGTTACACATGCCAGTCCTGGACTTCCCAGTGTCCTCATCGGCACCACAGAACACCAGACAACTTCCCTGAACTGAACAATGCCGCCAATGCATGCCGGAATCCTGGTGGTCAGGCCCCCCGCGGCCCATGGTGCTACACAACAAATGCTTCAGTGCGATGGGAATATTGTAACATCTCAATTTGTCCTCCAGGTAAGGTTAAAGTCTCCATCGTGATCAACTCGACATCTCTTGTATTTCAGAGAGTACGCCTGAAACAACGTTTTGTTCATTTTATTGTTAATGTTAAATCAATTATGATATGTTACTTAGTTTACATGACATCCAAAATTACTTTTTGTCTGGTGCTTGACTCGGCTTCCTGCATTCTGTATGCTAATGATAATTTTCTTCGGTTTATTTTCAGAAAATGCAACGATGTCGGATTGGAGTCCTTTCACCACGTGTTCAGCATCATGTGGGGCTGGGCTCAAAACACGCTATCGTGCTTGTAACAGATCGCGTTTTGGGGGAAAAGATTGCTCAGCGCTTGGCCCGCTCTCTGAAGAGCAACCATGCAATATTCATGACTGCAACGGTGAGCTATTGCTTTCTTGACCTGGAGTTCGCACAGGTTAAATCATAAGTAATGCTGTAGCTGCCTCCTCCACAGGCTTTTCTCATTTTTCTTTTTTCTCAGCGCATAGCGCGATTGGGAGACTGGGAGTCAGGAAGAAGGCGCGAAAGGGAGCTGGTAGCGAGTAAGGAGCTCGAGCAGGGAGCGATGGGATGATTCCCTGCGCCCCTCCCCACTAGTTAATTTCTATATTTTTACTATCGCGAGGGCGACTGGGAACGAGGCAGATACTGTAGAGTCATATAGAAGGAAAAGCGAACAGACATGCCTAAATTATAACCCTATTTCCAATCCGTTTTACGGGAAAATGGTTAGATTTTAGCAATCATCCTGGTCTCTGTAGTATAGAAGTATCAAAATATACTAGGTCTTGGTATGTTTGAGAGATCAACCTGAAAATAAACGTCATACGGAGTGAAATGGAGTGTTTTCACATGACGTCACGGCCGACGACAGCCATATTGCACCAATTTGGGGTCCCAAAACAATAAAATGGTGACCATGTTGGCGTCTCAAACTAATCTTGTGGGACCTGACCTCTTTCCTATCTACATATTTTCTTTTGTTCAATAAATTTGCATGGGTGCTAGCCACGTAACTGGACACTCTCTTTAGCCATAGACAACCATGCCCTCTTGACTTTGGTCAGGCTTAACTTGGACAACTACCAAATCTCTTCCCAGTCAATTAGTGCCTTGGGCAAGACTTGTTACGAGAATGGAGTTTTACACAGAGCCTGACCATTGCATCATATTGTGTTTGCTTAAAACAACTTGCTATTGAACTGATTTTTTTCAGGAACTGTTGAAAACGATCCCAAAGGTAATGATACTTTTTTGCTGGCTTGCTTTACTAGGAGTTCGTACAGGTTTGATACTAAGTAATGCTTTAGAGTCCCATAGCAGGAATGGCGAACAGACATTAATTTATGACCCCATTTTGCAAACGTTGTACGGAGAAAGGGTTTGATTTTTGAAATTACACTAGTCCCCATAATTTAAAAGTGTCAGAAGATACTTTGTCCGGCTTGCTATATCAGTGAGACCAGCCTCAAAATAAAGGTTTTCCGAAGAGAGCTGCCCGTAGACCGCCATGCTGGGGTAAACGCTGGGTTACGAAAATAACGTTTCCTTAACAAATCTTGATCATTGCGTCTTATTTTGTTTGCTTATTGTGACTTACTATTGCACTTGTTTCTCCCTATTGTATCTGTTTCAGGAACTGTTGAAAAGTCGCCTAAAGGTAACAATACTTTCTTTACAGCCATCATCAGTAACTGCGGCTTGTTTTTATATCGTAATTTTCGCAAAGATCCCTTATTGCACAGGTACAGGCCCGTTACTCGGAATGTCAGATATTTTTATATCGTTAACCCCTTCCCTTAACTGTAATTACCGCGGCGGTCTCTTGTTTTCTCGGGAAATATCTTGTCTCCGCAACCAAAAACAAGTAAATTAGCGGCCAAAAGGGATCCCTGTTTTAACTAGGGGTGGTTTTGACAATTTTTGAAAAGGGTCATCTGAAAACTCTCGCGCGGGCTGTTTCCAAAAGTAAAACGTTTTGCGGAAAGATTTGCCCAGAGGGTTAGCATGGAAGGTTGAGGCTTGAGGTGTTGGGCTACTGACAGACAATATATCGTCTTCTGTGGTGTAACATGACGTCTAGGTATCTTGATGTATTTTCCTTGGCTTTCCCGGTTAGGCTAATAGGTTATTGTCCTTTTCCAACGCTTTATGCTTTATTTTTCATGAATAACCCGTTTCTTTCCGTGATTTTGTGTTATTTTAGGGCTGATTTTTATGGAGATAATCATAGTTTCAGCCGTCGGATCAGTGTTTCTCATCGTTGCAGTAGCACTGGCTGCAATATTATTCAAGAAACACAGTAAGTAAAGGCCCTGTTACGTCGGGTTCACTATTCTCAGCTAGCTGTTCAAAATTTTAATGTGACTATATTTTTTTTTTTTCAGGGGCAGGGCGTAAGCCAAATATCCCGGATGACGCAGATGAAAAAGAAATAACACCATATGCAACAGTCTGTTTCAGCGGGGTTTTCCCGCCAAATACCGAAAATAATAGTTATGGTTTCCCAGGCATGTATGAGAATCCGCTGAAAACCTTGCCTTTCCAACTAAGGTCACCCTTAGGTGAAAGAGCCGCAGGTAGAGGAGGGTTGCGAAACTCGCCGTACGAAAATATCGACCCCCTTGGAAGGCCATCTGCGAATCCTCTCGAGTATCTGTTCTATAAACCTCGTTATGAAAACGAAACAGTTGATGATGAAACTCGTGACGTAGTTATGATAAGGCCTGGGTACGACAAGCTGACGCACGCCACTAGGAAAAAAAGGCGGGAAAATAGTGCCGCAAATCTCGGTCGTCGTTTGCCATGCGGAATGATAGACACACACAGTCTGTCTGTTTATGACTCGCTCATCCGGGAAATAGACCTAAGGTGTAAAAGCCGTAGAGGAGATATCACCGACAGCGAGGGTGAAGACAACATGAACATTCACACAATACTGGAAGTGCCCTCTAGCGACGAGTACAGTCCAGCATGTTCGATGGACAGAAAGAAAAATCAAGAGAACTCGTTGGCAGACATTGAACTTGGATGTACTGGAAATGATTTGAAGATATCCGGGGTACAAGGCAAAGTGAAACCATCAACTTTTAAGCAGACCGCTGGTAACCCGTCGCAGCGTTCTCAAGCTGCTTTTAAAATGGAAGATCAAACTGGTTTGTTTGAGTTTTATAGCAGTGATCGAACAGAAGACGCTGAACACGAACAAAGAGAGGACGAGGAAATGCACATGGCAAGGCCGGATGAATCATTTAGACCCAGCACGACCGCTGCAAACAGATCCTCTTCTCACTGTTCAATCAGGGAAACCTCAATCCCGAGGGCTTCTTCCTTTAAATATGGAAGCGATAAGGGCTCGATGACGCTCTGAAAGCTGTTAAGCATGGCGCTAAAAGAATACGTCGTCGCCCATTTCATGTAATCATTAACGGACGAAATACACCAATTCGGAAAACTCCGGGAATCCATTCTAATGTAGAGCTACGCATTTGGCTAATTATCAGTGCATACTCGCTTCAAGGTCGTTGCCATGGTTATCTCCATAAACTTCAAACGAGGAAGAGCCTGGACACCATCAAGGTGCGCTTTAATGCCCAAGTTCATTTGATCAATTACAAAACAACCTTTTTGAGATGTGTCATAAACCATGACGCCTACTCATGCAAGTGAATTGTTTTGTTCAGTTACAATAAGAAATAAGGATCAAGCCTATCGTACAGTATTCAGTTCAGTTGGTGGCGGCAGGCGAATAAGAAATTCCGGTCTCCGAGACACGAATTAGCCCGCAATTTTCCTTCGACGCTGCGCTGTTAGCCTTGTTAGAGAAAGACTGTAAACTTTAGGATTGTTTCAAAGGAGATGTGCCATGAAACGACACTTGAATTCTTAGTTGATATGATAAGATTACAAAGCCGAGGCCGCTGGGTCACAAGGGGGAAGATGAGGTAGGATAGATGATAGTTGAAATGTTTGTGACAAGCTGATCTACAGAGTTAAAGTAAACATAATACTTAGTGTTCATTTGCTTAGAGAAAAAGAGAGAGAACATTGCTGAATGTTTAATGTGCATCTGTAATTCAGAACAGCAGTCGTCGTATTGTCATAACTCCTGTTGAAATTTTCCAGGCCCATATAAACAGATCCACCAAAAGAACTAAAAAAGCACGGGTGAAGATCCCCGGGGCGGGCTCCCATATAGAATGGAGGGCGGTGCTCGTGGTACCTTTTTAATGGTTAAAAAAAAGGCGGTTTTGGTGCCTCTTAGGATGTTCAGCCTCACAAGGTCCACAGTGGGAACTTTTACAGTAACTTTTAGGGTATTGAGCCAAAAACATATGACGGGAAATAATGTGTTGTTTTAGAATTGGTTCCTTTTAGGGGTAAAAGATATTTCAAGCCACGCCCACAAAACAGAATCTTGGTACCTCTTAGGGGTTCTTTTCAAAATTTCCAACGAGCACCCCCGTCCTTTATATAGGGGAGTCTCCAACCCCCGGGGGGGTCTAGACATGTCGACGATATTTGATGTATACATAACATGACTTAGAATTTATCTCTACAGATTATTTTTCCATGATAATTTTGGTTCAACAAAAAGATTAATATCAATTATATTAATTTATTTGCAATGAATACACAAGTGTATTAAAATTGCTATAATCAGTGCAATATTTGCATTCTCAGCATATCTTATGTTAAAAGGTTTTCGGACAATATATTCGTTGTACATTTCTTTTTTTAGCTCATGTTTTCAATTGACAACATATTTTTACACGCAATTTCCTCAGAAAGAAAGTGAAAAAAATGCCCCTAGCGTGGAAAAAGATTGGAACTGACGAGACCGGAGCCCTGGTGAGTTAATTTAAACGACTTGAAAGTGACTAACAATCATAAATTTACATAAGTATTTAAACAAAAAACAACTTCTCATACCCAAGACTAAAACGAAGTTTCTAAAATGCAGTGATTTTCGATTGATCGTTTAACGTAATGATTCTGTAGTGTAGCAGCTCTCATAACCTGCTTTTGTTTGGTATTGTAAGCAGCTTCTATTGTTTTTGTGTCATTGTTTCAATTGTTTGGTCTTTTGTTTTTAGCTAAGGTAGCAAGCCAATCATATTGTACGTTACGAGAGCTGTTACATCACCCTAATGATTGGTTTGCTTCAGTTTAACATGTACATGTATTAACCAATCAGAGCAACCGAACTGTTTCTTCGACCAATCAGAGGCAAAGCAACTAAAATAACGCGCGTTTACCCGCGCTCTGGAGTCAGATAACGTATTTTTGTTTGCCGCGCTCTTTGATAAATCAGGCACTTCAAGCCACCCCAAGCCATGCAGCTGACGCACATAACTAATTTAGTACAACGAGATGTATTGCATACACGTCTAAGCGCAGTCTCATCTCGGTTGTATATCTAAATCAGTGGGAAAAGAGGTGGGATGATATAGGGGTGCGAATCTTGGTCAGCGCCTAAGCGAATTCAGTTTCACGACTCTTGAAAAATTGAAAAACTCTGCAAACTCACTACAAGAAACCACTGACGGTGGGAATGAACGTGTCCAGCGCCAGGAAAACGAAGGAGTTTCACATAAAAAAAGCCGGAACCGAAATGTAAATCAAGGAAAACGCCCTTCGAAATGGTACCAAATCCCATCGGAAGTATGGCCAGACAGACGTAACTAATCGATGATTAATGAGTAATCGATGGGTACATCAATGAGTAATTAACTGATTAGTCTTTGATTATTTGCGATGATCAAATAGTGTTTTACAGTAGCTGCAGAAATTCTCGCAACCTCATTAGCTAATTTTCATTGTTAGTAAGCAGACAGACGCATGAATTTATAACCTATGCGGTGTTGACGCGACGAGCGAGAGCGAACAAGTAGATAATTTGTTATCGTAAAAAAACAAATTGACGTTAGTTTTTCATGCGTCTGTCCTGTTATTGACTATGAATTTCGTCATAACATTGTCAATGTAGTCTGCGGATCTACTCGGCTATCGCCTCGTGGATCCACAGCTACTTTGACAATGTTATGACGAAATTCATTATCAATAACAGGACAGACGCATGAAAAGCTGACGTCTATTTGTTAAATCGATAACAAATCTATGTGTTGGAAACGCGGATATCAACACTAGTCGCTCTCGATCTCGTTGTAATATATTTTAATGTTCACAGCTAAATCACTCCCTGTGTCTCGAATATGGGTCATTAACTACATTGTTTGTCAATTGATAAGCCTTAGAGAAGCGCGCGTTCTGATTGGCTAATACGCTAGATCCATTTGCCCGTGGGTGGCACGCTGACCTAAGTTTGTTTATTTGTACTTTTCCTCGGCGATTTTTTTTTTTTTTTTTTTTTCAACGATGTACATGGAGCAGATCTTGCACTAGAAGAAATATTAATTTCAATGCGTCGATGCTCTTGTAATTCAATTACAGCTGTTTCTGTTACTTTACGGCCGCCATGTTGGTGCCCCTCCTAGGGTTTCCATAGAAAGCTCTATAAATGTGGGTGAAACACTTCTCCGAATAACGCTCGAATGAAAAACTGCACAGACCTAAATCTTGGCGAGGTTCTTTATCAGTATCAATCATTTATCATTTCCCAGATTCTTGACTTAATTTATTGAATGGTTCCGATTTTTATTTTTGATGGCCTGGCAGGGTAAACCGGCAATTGTTTCAAATAACTATTATGGGATGTCTGGGGAGCAAATACAGACTCATTTGCCCCCTGAACATCCCACAATAGCTATTTCAAACAATATAATTCAAAATGGCCGCCATATCTCCGAAAAGGTCCATTATTTGTACAGTGGAACCTCGATTTAACGAAGTCCCAGGTATAACGAACAATATTCCTCGCACCAGTAAAAGTAAAACAGATGGAAAAGAACCCAGCTATAACGAAAACTCGTTGTAGCGAACATATTTTGGCCCTAGGATGAGGGTACTCCCTTATATTGGCTATGTAGGTATTTGCGGTCCCAAAGCTAAAGGGTGTGGTTGTTTAGCCGTTTTGGTCATAAATAGGGTATCGATTTTGGCCATTTCGTTCTCAGAGAGGATATGGTTTTTGCAATTTAGTCTTGAATTCAGTATGTTTTTTAGAAGAAGGTTCTTTTTCATCATCATCGATAAGCCTGAGGTAACTAATTATATGACAGATCTGAAACTGGGTATTGATTTAAGACAAACAATAGACTGCAAGGCTGATACTACGTGGAAAACGTTTCGAGACACCTTCTTGGGATTCGTTATGTTGGTGTCTCGAAACGTTTTTCACGTAGTATCAGCCTTGCAGTCTATTTTTTGTCTTCATACATTTTTTTGGCTAATCAGATCTCTTGTAGATCCTACGTTGGCAGCGTTTATCGTATGCGGTCCCTTGCAGTTTCTGGTTTCTCATTGATTTAAGGGTCAGGTCTTAAACAGGATATCAAATTTTTGATCAGGTCATAAACAGGGCAGGGAAAATCACAGATTTTGGTAAGAGTTTTGGGAAGCCCAGCGCACAACCCCACCTGACGTTTCTACGAGTACCCATACGCCCCCTCCTCCCTTCCCCCGGGATTTTGCCAGTCCTCTAGCCCTTCGTTATATCGAGGTTCCACTGTCTATTTCATACCGCAAATATCACCAGACAGGAGTCCGTCGGACAAAAAAGGGTCGCGAACCAACGAGGCGTTGTTGGATTCCAAGACGAAAATTCCAAAGTCTCCAGAGATAGAATCTAGAATTAATGAATCGAGTCGAAATCCAGCGTGTCAAGTGCCTCGGCCTTGCTGGGTCGCTTCGATCCCGGCTTCGTCTTTCTTTACTCCGGCCGCAGCGCGTGAAAGCTTCGAGAACAAATCCACATTTACATTCAACGTTAGGGGTGGCGAATGGTCCTTCAAACACCATGGGTCTCGCCGAATTTCACAGCTCTCGCAATCTCGTTTTATTAGCTGTTATGTGCGTCTCGCAGTCTCGATTTTTTCCAAGCCAAGAACGTCTCGAAGTAGCGATTTTCTTATATCTTTATATAAGCTTAATGACGTCCTGAAACGTCTCAGAATCTGAACGTCTCGAGCTCGCATTTAAACCACTTTGAAATCTCGGTCTCGTCATTGAAGAAGTCAAAATGTCTCGGGCTCGCAAAGAGAAACGCTAGTCTCGTCTTCTCGCAGAGTCTCTCATTCACCATTCACCACCCCGTGCCCCTAATGTTTGTGTTTGATGATCGCCAACGCGCTGTTTCTTGTCACAATAATAGGACCTGTCATTTTTTACCAATCAGAATGCAGCTGCGCTCGTGGAAAACGGAAAGGCTTACATGATTTGACGAGTCACGACAGGTTCGGGAAACGAGCCCGCGCTCCTCCCCCGAACTGCTGGATTTCCAGCCTCTGTTCGGGGAGGAACAAAGAGAGCACCGGACGTCTAGTGATATATAATAAAACTGATGAATAGAAAAGAAGTTTAAACAAAGATGAAGATGAGTTACTTTTTGAAACAGCGAACTCTTTTAACTAAAGACACGGAAAAGACAGTAGTGAATGAGAATGCAAGAAGGCAATTGTTTAAATCTTCCGTAACTAAATTTTCTCAAGAGGCTTTCCGCAAACGCACGACTATTTACAATAACGTTACTACTTACAATTACTATATTCGCTAATATAAATTCAGAATTAAAATATAAAATATTCCTAAGAGCACGACTATTTACAATAACATTACAACTTACAATTACCATATTCGCTAAGATAAAATCAGAATTAAAATATAAAATATTCCCAAGAGCAACTAGTCTTAATATTAAAAATTTGAGTTAGAAAATACAGCTCATCACACTGGCACCCTGTAAACTCCACACCCTTCAAACGAGAACGAAACTGTGCCAAAGTGGTCGAGAAGTTGGTGATAGTTGGTAACTGGTTCCACATGTGGACAATCTCATACAGAAAGGAGTTGTGCACGACTAGGCTGTTATATGATGGCTGTACACCAGAGAGCCACTACCTCGTAGATTACAGCTAGTTATCCTAGGTGTAACGACCTGAGAAATATAATTTAGGCCATCCAGTCTAAAACACTTAAAAAATAAAACATGATGAGCGATTGCACGATACGTCTTTGCTCAGGCGTGTCCATAGCAACCATAGCTAGGCATAGATCACAGGTAGTCGAGTTACCCAGGTTTAGTAACGACTTAATCGCGTAGTGATTGGCACGTTCGATGGTAGTTTTAAAAGATTTAGATATTCCCAGCAATAGCGGGCAACAGTATTCAATATGTGGTAACACGTAGGGCTTTATGCAGAGAGATCATAACGTCAGATGGAACTAAGCGTTTAATCCTACGTAAAGCAGCTATCATAGCATATGCTTTTTTCAGCAGTATCGTAACATGGAGCATAAAGTCCCGGTCCAAATTTTAAGAGTTGCCTCAGTTTCAATGGACATGTCATCAACTAAAAATTTGAATGTATAACGAGAACTACCCAGCTTCAATGCCTGGGTTTTAGCAGTCTTAGTGGCGTTTTATCGTTGTTTAGATAAAAATCGTAAACTTTGGCAGTATTTTAAAGAAGATTTACCAAGAAACGGCACTTGAACTCTCAATTATCAGATTACAAGTTGAGGTGTGCTTAAGAGTCGAGACAGCTGGGTCGCAAGAGGGAAGGTGGTGTGAGATAAATGAGAGTTGAACTGTGTTTGCGATCAGCCGATCTAAAAAATTAAAGTAACCATAACTCTAAGCTTAGTGTTAACTCACTAATCAATCAATCAACCTTTATTTTAAAACGATAGTTTTCAAAGCTACAAAGCCTGTGGGATCATTTAACAAAGGATCTAATGAGCAAAAAAATTTATAATTTATCTCAAACCTAAGATATGTGCAATAGTTAAATTTAACTAAACTTCATGCGGATTGCTATATTTTTAGGGTCAATATAAACGTTATGAATAAAGGAAAAGAACATCATTGGATGCTGAATGCGCATCTGTTATTCAGAACAGCAGCCGTCGTATTTTCACAACTTTCTGCTGGGATTTTCTGGGACTATACAACTGAGTATCACCAAATAGACATGAAGATATTTGATATGTACATGACTTACATGTCATCTATACAGGTTATTTTGCTATGATAATTTTTGGTTGAACGAGTGGATGGTAAAGCCTTCAAGTGAGGAGAGCCATTAGCCGTCTAACTCTCCTGTTTAAAATTGTCCACGGTCTTGTGGATGTTGATAACAAGAATTAATTTGGTCGAACGTGGTCGCCACACAATCTATAGAATACGTGTACCACTATTGAAATGTCGAGACACAATAACTGTTATAGATCCTCTTTTTTCTACAAAATGTTTAAACAAGCAACCGCGAACGATGGTCCTGCTGGTAGACGTTGGATCAGCAGTGATCTAACCGGCTTCACATAGAAAATGAAGAAGATAAAAGCAAAAACCGACACAACGTAGGATGATAACTTACAAGATGTTAAATGATAAAGATAATAAAGTACACCTTTTAAAGGTGTACTTCATTTCGGCTGGCTAAACCAGCCTTCTTCAGGTACAGTGAGAATTTTAAATTGGGAGGTGTTTTTATGTAATATATCTGCGTAATGCCGGAAATCCGTAAAAACTAATTGACAGTGTAAATTTTAAAAAAGATAAGCATATTTTAAAATAAAATAATGAAATAACATAATAAAAGGAAACAATTTAAAAATATTTTTCTTCGCGGACGTTGAGATCATCTTCCCACGTACCATCCCAGAGTGGAACCATCTACCCCGGTATATTTAGAGTGCTACCTATACTGTATGCTTTAGAGTATCCGTTCTATCAGTTTCGTTATGAAGCAGTTGATAGTGAAACTCGTGACGTGGTTATGATAATGCCTGGGTACGACAAGCTGTCGCCCGCCACGAGAACAAAAAGGCGGGAAAATATGGGGAACAGAATCTTGGTCAGCGTCCAAGTCGATTCATCGGATTCAGTAAAAAAAAATCTGACACTGCGCATTCAGTCATTCTTTAAAAGAGACTCGTTCCACGGCCATCACTTCCTCGCACCACAAACGTCGGGAAGACTGGACACCAGCTAAGTGCACTAAGACGTCTGGGATTGTTTAGTTTGCCTTGAAATAACCTTCTAGACTAAGACAAAACTATGGAACCTGCCAAAACCCGTCAATTTTGCGATGTTAAATACGAGCCAAACCTCTCACGAGGGGAACAAATACCAGCTGATAACAAATATTTCTAATCTACGAGAATGTAATGGGCCCATAGTTTTCGCCATCTTTAATTGGATCAAAATCTTAAAAGATCTTTCGACTCTCTCGGCTGCAACAACTGGAAAGGTGCAATGCTGAAAGTGATAAAGATGTAGCTGTAAACCAGAAGTTGATTTTATTGATTTATTCGAAAATTTAGAAGATCCAAAGCCGAACTAAAGTTAAATTTGGCAATCTATTTGAAACTAACCTGCGATCCGGTGTTCTCTTTTGGACGAACGTCTACCGCCCCTCATCAGCGATGTTTAGATTTATCCGGACACTTACGCGGCTTTTTGCTTGTTTACTTATAGTTGAAATGTCGTTGGCGAAACGCAACACATCGCGTCATGCAGTGTTATTTTTGCGATTACTGCTTAACCGACAGATTCATTTATTTTATTGAAAGTGATTAAAAGTGTGGGAATAAACAAATTATTCTTCCATTAGTTTGCATAAAGTGCTCCTGTATATCGTCAACTGATGTACACAGTTTCACGATTCTTGGCAAACTGAAAAGTTCTACAAGCTCCGCACAAGAAGAAGCGACTGACGGTGGGAGTGAACGTGTCCAGTGTCAAGAAAACGACGGAGTTTCACATAAAAAATTAGTACCGAAAGGTATATCAAGGAAAACCGGCGATGGCTATAAAGTCTTTCTTCATCTGCTCTTTTTTTGAATATTTCTGAATACAATTTTGAAGAGACGAAATTATAACTGGACTAATAGCAGCTAAAAAATCGCTGTTCACAACCGCGGCATCTGAATTACATTCAATTACGTAGTCAGTATTGGAACGGGGTGCAAAGATCTACGATGAAACTGGGCGCTAGCCTGAAATGTGGGCAGCCTACTAGCTCCCTGGGGATTTGGCAGAGGGTGAGAGATGAATGATATTCAGGGGCGCCAAACCAAAATCTTGCTGAAGCGGATGTTCAGTTAGGTCCCAGAACTTTCCAGAAATATCATAGCCTGCGAAATTAACGCGGACTATTTCCGGATGTCGCTTGTCTTTGAACGCAATGCAACTGCGTTCGCAGGCTAGAAATATCATTATTTCGATGCGAAAGACGTTTTCACTATATGAAAGAGAAAGGAATCGAAGATCATAGAATAGGTCGAGAATTCGAAGAGAAAGGTAAGCCAACATTTTGAAGCTGTTTCATAACTAAAGATGAGGCTGAGGCTATGAATGAGCACAGACTGAATGACAAAACAGGAAACTTGATCTGACGAGCCATAACTGAATAGCCTCGGAATCTAGTCAATGTTGAAATAGAAAGCAAGTTTAAATAGGAGATGAGGAGAGCTACTTTAGGAAACAGCGAGCTCTTTTTGCACAAATGAGAAGAAAGGGAATTGTTCTGAATGGGCCTATCCACACTAGTGGACAAATTAAGAATACTCTTAGGAAAAAATCGATCAAAGGACAACATGTCTAAATAACCAACATTTTTGCCAGTGCGGATGTGCCCTATCTATTTCACAATCATGCGGAAAATGGTTTGATTAAACTTGATATGTGGTAACGTCACTCGTATGACCTTACGGTGAGGCCCCAAGGAAATCCAAAGATTTCTATCGCGTTTTCTTTAATCGTCAGTTGTCAGACAGGAACACACAAAATGGCTGATCAGCAATTCAGAGCTCTATCGTCGTGTTTGATGATTGGGTTCCTCGTGGTTGTAGTAACAGCAGGCAACACTGATACGAATGGTAAGCGAGAGTTCTTGGTTTACTTCATTTATTTTATAGTTTATAGTTGTCACACGAATCTATGAACGCAACCCCATGAGTTTTATTTAAGAAATAGAAAACATGTACCGTGTTTCTATCGAGTCATATAAACACGAGTGGAAGTTTGAGAGAACGAGAAATGTTGTGGGTGAGGGACATTGGGAGGGTTCCAAATAAAGTCGCCAAATATCGCAACACTTCAATAGGCCGAGTCGAAATTCGAAATGTCATACCGAAACCACTACTCTGTATGTCAAGTTTAGAACAAATAACACGGGAACAGCAAATAGGAATTTGTAATTTTCGATTCAGGGGACAAAACAAACAAATTAAAATGAGTGACATCCATTGGCGTGTTGGCTAATAATTAACAAAAAATATCTTACCTTTTCCAATGGGAAACTGGAAAAGGCTCGAAAAAGGTTGGAGGACTTGGAGGATAATTTTTAATACCGTCCAAAATGTTAAGAAACCGCATCCCGCAGGTTCGGAGAATACCGTAATTCCGCAGTTCGAGATTAAAACTACCGAAATACCGCAAGGAAAATTGTCCAATACGGCAATAACACAAACCCCAATGTCTTCCTCCTATGGGAACACGAGCCGATAGGCGAGTGTTTCCACAGCTTTCTCGAGTTCTCGAGCAACTCTTACGCTTCTCGCGTGCTCTCCAAATTTCCCATGTGCATCCATAACTCCATATACGCACGCTAAGCGTCAACCAGTTCTTTAGTAGGAACACTCGATTTTGAACCAATCAGCGTGCGTATCTCCTTGGAGCTATTTTCTAAAATAGATTGCAACACAATCTGTGAACGAGACCGATTATTAAACAATCAGAACGCTGACATCTTTAAAAAAAATCGACAACTTCAAGTCAGATGTAGTTTCGTTTATAACAGATAATGGCAAACAACTATTTGTTTCAGACACCTTTCTTTGATTAATAAGAGATTCGTAAAACGTCAGAAGTTTATAACAAAACACCGAATAAGCTCATTCGTGGATTTCACTTTCCGGGAGAGAGGATGGCTCGCCCTTTCCAGAATCACTGATCGGGCTCTCTCTAACCCTCAATCCCCTCCGTTTTCCGTCCAGACCAAAATATCACTTCTTGCCTTACCATATATACAGGTTGCACACCAAAAGGGAAAGTGTAGTTAATTATAGTTTTGGGTAAAAGACACCCAAACAGGAGAGATTCTGATCTAGAATTGTAGAAGACTGAAGACTGAGGACTGAAGTCTGAAGTCTGAAGTCTGAAGTCTGAAGTCTGAAGTCTGAAGTCTGAAGTCTGAAGTCTGAAGTCTGAAGTCTGAAGTCCCTCCTGGGCTTTCGTACACATGTACATGTAAGATAACAAATTTCTTTTTCAAACATTCACAGCTTTGAAAACCTCTTGTAGGAGACTATGATCGTCTCTGGCAATCAACTAATCACCTTAACTTGTTCCAGATTTTCTCTCATTGTTTAATCTAGCTTCTACCAGCAATAGAGGGTGGGCATTTCTGACTCTTGTAAAAGATTGTTTTCCAACCACTTTTTGAATGTGCATGAACTAAATCCATTTTTATGTTATCCACATTTGTAGATTGTCCGTCTCCTCTGGGAATGGAGGATGGACGCATCAAGGATGATCAACTTATAACTACAACCAATTTAAATGGTCTAAGCGACGCTTCTCATGGCAGATTGAATTATAGGGATGGCTATGGTGGATGGTGCCCTAATCAGACGCGCAGTGGAGATGAAACGGGACCATTT